AATCAGAAATCGTGATTACTTTTTTTTTTTTAATGATCTTCAAATTTCACATAATTTTGCAAACCGCAATAATCGACTAAGTTGGGTCTGTAAAATTCAAATCGATTAATTCGATTTTCGATTTGTATCACTAGACAGAAGTCACAAAGAAGTTATACTTAAATCCAGAACAAGAATTTCGACGCAATTGAATTTTATGCGATAACAGAATGAAATATAATTGAAATTTACCGAAATTTACAAAAATAATTGAAATTTTCAATAAACAATCGAAATATTTGACTGTCCCTGGATCACTGAAATTTGGCGGTACCGTGCGTGATCTCCAAGTCAAATCGGGATGGCAAGTATCACTTCGCGAACTGTAGAACTCCGGCCTGATTCGGTGAATCAATCAGCTCGGAGGTCACGTTGCCGCCAAATTTCCTATTTCACTCAGTAATTATGTTAAATTACAGAATAACGATAAAGAGAACTCACTTAGAGCATAAATAAGAACACACAATACTTAATTTATTAGTCATAAAAAATAAATACAAATGGCATGAATGGCACTTATACATAAGCCGGCAAAAAAAAGGACATGAAAAAACTGGACAAAAACGAAAATTATCGATCGTATCAATTTTTGACCAGTATACCATATAGAAAAGGTTCTTCGACTTATTATTTCGACAAAAGTGATTAGAAAATTGGAGAAAATAATAAAGTTTTAGAATTTAATATTTTGTTCGTTAAGGCCAGGTTTTTTTAAACATCGAAATTTGATATGCGTTGATTTACTATTAAAAGGGACCATGACTCCCGAGTAGAGCGGTGAATCGAAAGAAACGATCAAAAAGACCGTTGAAGATTATCGTCTTATCATTACCAGCGTCATTACTTTAAAGTCCATCACACGATCATCGATTAGGACTCCAAATATCAAGGTCGAAGTCTGTTTGCGTACTTGTTTGTATAGTTGTCAAAGAATATTATTAGGATCGGAAACGAATCTAAAACAAAATTTTATTTATGAGAATGATAACATTTAACATTATTTATAAATAAAATAGGAGACACTTACCGCTTGTGACATCTGAGATATCACGCAAATTGCTAAAGAATCAGCATGTTATAAGAATTAAAACAGATCTTAATTTTTGGATTCCATGAAATTCATGAAATAGTAATATGGTTTT